GCCGAAATAATTTGTGATGGTCTGACATTTTTTATATTACTTTTTGCTAATAAGTGATTGATTCATTAAAGATTGTTATTTTTGAATGATTTTTTGGTCTTTTTAAAGGATATTTATTGCCACGAAGAGTTGAAGCAGGTCTTGGCCGAGGAAATACTAATGGTATAACCAACGAAATAAGAGGAATGAATGGCATTTTAAGGCGATATTTAAAACAAAATGAGGATGGTGGTTTTCATTTACTTATACAAACTTTGGAGACGTTCACACGAGGTTTTTTTTATGAAATTCATTCATAAAAAATTTTTAACAATTGATGATTATAGATTTTTTTCACGAATTCTAATTGAAGGTCAGTATATGCGTCTTGGTGAAGCAATTTTCGGGTTTCTTGGCGAATTTGATTTAGCACCGGACTTCAAGCACTTATGGATGGATGAGCGTACTTGGAAAAGTTTATCTGTCGCTGATAAAAAGGCAGCCTTATTTTCAATAGGAATAATCGAAGATGATCTTGAGCCTGCATCTATTATACCTTTGCAAAGTAAACATAACAGTTTTGGACTCTGTTCTCGCTGTTTCCATTAACTTTGTTCTGTTTTTTCATGGCCTTGAACGATTTTTCAAGTTCTTAATCTTTCGCATTATTATCACCTTTTAATATGGAAAAATTATAGTTTTAATTTCTTCTTCATACTTCTTTCTTTTATCCTATAACTTTGCATAAATCGGATGTTCGAAAATCGAAATGAAATATTTTAAGATCAATTTTCCGTTGGAATAATTAATATTAATATCTGATTACATGAAAGAATTTTAGATGAATTGCCGGTATCTTTACAATCTATTTACACTCTTCATGAATGGAGGAAAATGATGAAATATGCTAGAGCCTTAGTGGATCACAATGAAATTAAGCGATTCGATGAGGAAACATTCGCAGTTCGCGATGCTTCCATTGTGTAAATGTTTCATATTTTTTCAATCTTCCATCATCATTGCACAGATTAATTTTTTATATTTATTTGATTATGAACCAAGTAGGATGTAAAACCATATGCTGGAGTAGTTTTAATATTATTAGTACTATTATTTAGTATTAATGGTAGTAATATTAGTATTACAAAGAAAGAGAATAATA